TCACAAGCACAGTATCAGAAAAAAATATAAATAGCAATGATTCAAAAGAAGATTGTATCATATGTACAGGTATAAATACATATAGTAATGCCTATTTAACATTTAAATAGTATTGTGATTGATTGGATTGTATGACGCCATATAATGAAATGAAAAATTTATAAGCCAAGAGACCAGTGATAGCCAAAGAATATATATAAGAAAATGGCAGAGACAACAGACAAAAGAAAAGTAGGACAGCAGAAAAAAAGATAAGCAGATGCCATAAGAAAAAAAAAAAAAGGAAACAGCAGGAAAAGACTGGATGCAAACTTCCATAGGGAGAGACGTGGATAGTCAGTATGGACGAGCTGGTTTATGAATATGGATACTGGCGTAATTTATGAGATTTTTATATGGTTTACTGATGGATAATAAACTACTTTATGAATAGCATATATGTAGAATGAAAAATAAATACTGCATGGTCTAAGTTGTAAGTTTTACATGTTATAGAGAAGTATTTGTTGAGAAAATGTTTGCGAGCTGAGCCATTGTTCTTTAATTATAATGGTATTATAGTGAATACAAATTTAAGAAGCACAGGTAGTTAAAAGAAAAAAAAAAACAAAAGGACAATTGATTGTTGTTAAATGTATGAGCATTAAAGTTTTGAAAAGTGTACATGGGTATACTAGATTTAAATTGAAAGGATCCTATTGAACCTATAACTGTTTTAAGAGACCTTTATATCCAATGCAAATAAAATGAGAGAGAATATAAGTTGTGGAAGTAAGGCTATATCTGTCAATTTAATCCCAGGAATATATAAGAAAAGTTACTAGAGGACATAAATGAAAGTTAAGATATAAGAAAGTTAAATATTGTTAAGGATTACAGTTTACAGTTATAAATTACTGTTGTAGATGGTTTTGCCAATTTTATTAATTTCTAGTTAACCTTTGTTAAATCTTGAGATATTGTATCTATTAAGATTTTAATTGATTAAAAAAAAAAAGAGAATAATCGAAGCGTATAATGCTAAATTAACGAGCATGTAAGAATTGTTGGTATACATGTTGACTCAATTGACTTGAATATGAGATTGGATGTGTTGTATTTAGACCATTGTAACTTTTGACATAGTTGTTGAGTTGAAGTAAAATTGAAGTAAAATCAACATATAAGAATTGATGTTGTCACTTGCATAGCATACGAGAACGGATGTATTAAATAAGTGAGGGTGTTTTAATGTTGAATTGTACAAAATTACAGGTGTAGAGATATTGGAAATTTATAATAATAACGGTGATGTTGTTTTCAAATATTTGGTTAAGTTAAAATTTTTATAAGTAATGATCAACGCAATCAAATGCTGGGCATTTGATTCCATAGATTAGTCTGAGCACCTATATGCACTTGTATGTGTGGCTGAACGCTCTTTGGAGAAATCGGATTGACTATTGTACTAACTAAATAGTTTAAATTGAAATTAATCCTTTCAGAACTGATTTTATGTGTCTGGAATTTAAATATAACTAATGGCTTGATAACATGGTCTGCTAGTAAGCAGAAAGTTACAGCCGAATACGCAGAATATTTTAGAAAATGTGTTGTAATTAATGGGAAATTAGAAGAGGTGCTAATTTATAGAACCCAGACACCGTATACAGACACTTTAGAAATATTATGAATAAAGCGCTCGAGGTGTACAAGATAGTTACACTGCAAGATTGTAGTAAGGACGATCACAAGGTAAAATTTGATACACCTCGATGGAAAATAGTCGGTAAATATACGCGGTGAAGAGTTGTACATGAACGAATAGATCTGAAAGATTAAGGAATGCTAGTGATACAATGATGAGTTACAATCGACGACAAGCTGAATTTCATAATTCAAAATGGCTAATAGAACGGGCGGTTGATATGACAATGAAAAATGATTTGAAATACTTTGATGAAATTATGAGATTAATATAATAATTATATGACTATGAATACGATTTATGGATTTTAAGGTAAATGATGGTGATTTAGATTTGATGATATACTGATGAGATGATTGCACTGAGATCGCGGCTGATGGTTCCGTATACGTTAGTTCACGGAGAAAATGGGGATCCGCGTGTGCTCAATGCGACGTACAACGAACGACTCGCTTTTTGTTGATGCTACTCAAGATTTGGTAGATAATAATAGGAGTAAGGTATGTGGTAGTAATATATTGCAAGTTCGTTCAGAAATTGATAGATATATATCAACCAGATATATAATTCGAATTTGGTACATAATTAAATTGAATTAACTTATGATTAAATGTTATAAAGTCCTTTAAAGCGTTGGAGAAATAGTAAAATGGAACCAGGAAATCCAGTTCTTAAAGTAATGTAATAGAATAAAAAGTAATAGTAAAATTTGATGGGAGTGCATATAACCCATAGTTGAGTTGCAATGTAGAGCACTTGAGGCTGAAGTAAAAATAGCATAGTACCATAAAGAATATGACTAGTTGGAGGCCGTAACTCCTTGCGTGCGCAAGCTGTGAATGCCTCATTGAGAAAATGACCAGTTGTTAAATATTTGATGTGTTTCAGTTGGAGGCCGTAGTTCCTTGTGGCGGCAAGCGGTGGCTGAGTCTAATGAGAATCTGACCAGTTTGAGGCCGTAGCTCCTTGTGTGGGCAAGCGGTGGCTGAGTCTAATGAGAATTTGACCAGTTTGAGGCCGTAGCTCCTTGTGCGGGCAAGCGGTGGCTGAGTCTAATAAAATCCAGATCTGTTGAGACCGTAGCTCATAGTGGGCAAGCGGTGGCATTTTTTTAATGTTTTGTTTTAACAGGTATTTCACTAATTAGCTAGGCAGCCGTGTTTGCAGAGATGCTGACTAGTACCTGGTGTGAAAAATTAAGTGATACAACTTAAGGCGGAAAAATATAACAAAGACTGAATTCATGATGTTGAAATGTAATGTGTAGTTGTCAGTGGCAACTTTCATATTTTAAGTATGTAAATTATCTCAAACTAAATTTTATATGATTTTAATTTTATTATATTACCCGATGTTAACTGTTATGATAATATCGAATGAGGCCCTTCGATAACGTTGGATGGCCGAAGTGGCTACGAATACCATCGATTAAATATAAAGTGAATAGTAGGCTTACTAAACTCACGTTCGTTTGACGAAAGTTAGTAATTTGTTTTATGGAAATTGCGCAAGGTTTTACAACAAACTCCCAGAGTCTGTACTCAATTTGCCAGAAAAAGAAATCAAATGTGTCCTAAAATATTTTCTTTGTAAAAAAAAAAGCTTATTATAAAATTGAAGAATTTATAAATGTCATCATTTATAAATCAGTGTTTTTTAGAAAATCTCTAACTTGAAATTCATAGCGCTGTCAATGTTGTCTGATTGAACGGAGATTAAGTGCGTAGCGGATTTTATGTTGATTGCCGCATGCCTAATCCTTGTTGTTAATTAAATATAAGTAAATCAATATTTATTTAAAAGAGCAACACACAGGTTTCTTGTTTATTCTTCTTGTGATGAGACTGCGTTCCGAATGGGCGATAGATTCTGAAAACTTGACTACTCAAAAGTGCTTGTGTTGAGTTTATTTGAATAAAGATTATTTCTAATTCACATTAATCTGGAACAGTGGGTTTTGGTTTATGTTAAACTGGTGTTGTAAAGAAAATTGAGATCAGTATCTACAATCATTTATAGTCCCCTAAATGTACAGGGTTCAAAGGGTGCAATAGATTACTTGACCAGTGAGCTGATGGTATTATTAAGTAAATCATAACTGAAATTCAATGAATTATGTTAGATTAAAATAATTCTCTGGTAAATCAAGAGTATCATCGAAGTAAAATAGTAGTAGTAGTATTGAGGGTATTAGAACCACTTGAATAATATTGACCTGTTATTTTCTATTGGTTAGGTGAAGGCAGGCAGCGATTTTGTTCTAATTTTATGTCACGAGAATATTACTTTCTCTTTATATTTTTTTCTCTATATACGTAGGTAATTAAGTTTTACCTTTTGTAATGTGATATGTTAAATTTATCCGTTAAAATATTCATGACGAGAAATGTCAAGTTCTATTTTGGAGGTATAAAAAAAAAATGCAATGTTCATAAGATCGGAAACTTACATTGTAATGGTGATATGTTACAGACTGACTCATAGAAGTCAATCACCGCAAAATAATTGTTTGTTACTCTAAAAGGTTGTTCATGTTTTTGGGTGATTTGGATTATGTAAATTAATATAGGTATGTTATGTTATATTTTGTGCATTTCTTAATGCATGCCGAAACTTAGCTCTGTTAGTATTGATTTTAGATTGTAAACCTTTGACAGTATACTAAGATAGTCAATGTTATGAAAGTAATGTGTATCTTTAGTTTATTTAGTTTAGTATTTGTTATATGATCCTGTAGACACTATATCCTTTGATAAGCATGACTACGCTCATCAGTTACCTATGTGTCTGGGCCAGACACTATTGCAGGATGGCCGACTGTTAACTATCGTGTGACGCACCATTAATTGAAAATGGTAAAGTCAATAATCATGTAACCTGAAACGGAACGTCAGAGGCCAGAGCCAAAGTAATCTATGTGACATTGACAAGTGGATGACGGACGATTGAACGGAGGCAGCGGGAGTTTTGGAGCGAAAAAGTTGGAGTGTTTATATTATTATAAAAACAAATAAGAGATAGGTAATTGTGAATATTGTAGGCATTGAGGTGTTTCTCTCCCTGACTAACCGGTATTACGCCTAAGTCGTCAGGATACTAGTGATTTTAAAATAAGTATATTCTATTATTTACATAATTAGGGATTAAAATTTAGTATTAATGAAAGAGAATGCACTCCTTTCGAAACTATCTTCTTCTCTGTAATAAATATGATCATTGTGTATTCTGTCAAGTTCGGTCATGAACACAGAGTATAAAGATGCAAATTTGTATTGAGCAGAATATTTTTTATGTCTTTTCTTGATTTTTACAGGTTTAATGCCAACAGCTTATAGTATTGCTGCAATAGAAGTTGAAAAACCCCAGGAGCGACACGCGCATAGTAAGTATTAATAAATATGTATAGATCTATTACCATGATAGAAAATTAACAATTTTGACTAGGGTATGTAAGTACTTTATATCTATATTATCATTAAATCTGATCGGGATACGATGATCTCTATAATATTTTTTATATTATATGTATATTAAATTAGGCTGGTATAGGAATAGTATAATCGAATTCATTAGCTGTTTATAGAAAATAGTTGAAGGCATATAAGTATCTATCTACATTTTATAATGGAGATTAAACTTAAAAACTATCATTATGTTTTATCATAATCGGTGAAGCAGATCATGCAATTTAATGTAAGACATAATACAAAGTAAGTGTGAAATAAATATTCCTAAATATATATATATTTAGGAATATTTTATTATATTTCGCTTATACCTTGAATTTATTTAAAATAGTATCTACCTATGTGATCATGACATTTGAGGGCGTAGTTTGTGTCGAGTACATTTTACTCAGGCCGTATACATATTTTATTAAATTTCCAGCAAGAAAGTATCACTCATCCACCGCTTTAGGTGTAAATAAAATAGTAGCCAGTTTTATGAATCAACTTATATCGAGAATACCTATTCTTCAGTGTAAGTGTATGGTTGCTATAGCATCGTAACTCGTGCCATTAGACGGATACCTTTCTTCTCTTGCTATAGCATTATGTATGAGTATACTAGTACATATTGCTACATTAGGTGTGATAAAATTAAATGCTTTATAAGACGTGCTATTATATTTAATGGAAAATCTATTATGTTTTGTATCAAATATTTCTTGGTATCAAATATACTGGTTGATTTTATTAAAATATCAGAATATTTCTATTTGTATTATAATAGCATTTTATATTATTGTACTATAAGATCACAAAATTACTTATACTGAGCAGAATAAAGTGATATTTTAGGTACTAATTTTATTTTTATTGCCTATGTATCTTTTACTTTGGCTTTTTTTGCTTAAATTAAGGTTAATTTAATGCACATTTAACAACACACATTTACTATTTTTATTGTGAGATAAAAGGATGTCACTAATTGTTATAGGCTTTGGAACTTATAGTATCCGATAAAAAATATTTAGTTATTTAATATAACGCAAACATACCTATTACCTATATTAGATTTTTGTTATAAAAATGATATGGAATTTATTATTTCAGAAAGTCGAGCTGTTGCACCATCCGTCACGTCTGTGCTTTATTTGGTGTGTGCTTATATTTATAGAATAATTATATAAGAATAAAATGATATATAATGTATATAAAATATATTATACATATGTAGTATGTTATACATTAGTGATATCGTTCAAAGATTCATTGAATTATTATAATAAGTACAAGTACCAATAACGTTTATATACCTATAGGTAATTGTTTAAGTGTAATTTTATTAATGTATTGTTAATTTCGTTTCATTTAATTTAGTATCTGATATAATGGAGTTTATACTAGATAAATACCGTATTTATAACTGTATACAATTTTATACACAATTTATGCAGTAGCTGCCGTATGTAAGATGTTTCGTAAATGATTATTGCAACCTATGAACCCACAAAGAAAACCTTTAACCATGTTGGTCTCCATATATCCCTTGAGGACTCTTAACCAAACTTGGCAAACTAACTGCGTCGCTGTATTGTAGTGGTGTACTACACTTATAATAAAAATATAACAAGTATAGCTGATACCTAATGAAATACATATATTGTGGTACTCTATCAATGTAACAGTAACTAATACAATTATTATTAGACTATGCGTTTACTTATAATTAAATACTATGAATAAATTTCAAATTTACATTTAATTGTTTGTAGTTTTGATTTCATTTTTAATTTTAATTTTTGTTAATATTATTTGTTTATCCTGTAAATAAACATAAATGTTATTCAGTAGTCAGTAATGTTCAGTAGTCAGTAATATTTGTTAAGAGATTAGAGAAACTGTTTCATAAATGTGATAAACCCACCTACTATATACCTATTATGTATCTAAATTATAATAAAAGTAAGTTAAGGATAAAATCGGCCTCTAAAAATGTATGAAGTAACATTATTTTAGATTGCTGTATTATAAATAGAAAATTTATAGGTACCTATCTATTTATAATTGTTATTATAATGAAATAATTTCTATTATACATTAATGTATAAAGTATATAAATGATATAACGTAAGTATTTAATAAAGCAAAAGGGTCGTGGGATAGAGGCCTTTTAACGAAGTAAATAGTAAAAAAATCTATCTATGTATTTATATCAGGTGTCTAGTATCCATAACACGGTTTTGCTTAACCTGGGACAAGATGGCACTGTGTGAATTGTTCTGGGATATTATTATTATATATGTATGATAATTAAAAACAATTTATAAAGAACTGTAAATTATTATACAATATCGTACAATTCACATAATATGTACTTATATATTAAGCATTTATTTTAAAGCAACATGTATGTCTTTAACATTCTTTTTATTTTTACCTAATTTCGCCTTTGAAATCTGATGAAAATAATTACAGTTAACGTAAGTGTTAAATGAAATGACTGTTAGTTAAGGTAATATAAGTTGATGTAATCAAGCATTTATGTTAAGGTAAAAGATGTAAATAAAAATTTTCTTACTTATGCGTTATTTTTGTTTATCTTAAAAATCTGCTATATACATGAAAGGAGCCATGCTCTAATAGTTTACTACCCATCTGAAAAAAATTTTTTTTAAATGGTTGATACTGATGTGGCGCTGCCGCTTGCAATAACGCTGATATGTGCTGTTAGGGAACCAATAGAGGAGAACAAAATGAGCATGAAGTCAGGACATTTAGTCCATTGGAAAATTCAATAAGAATAATTATCACGGTATTTTTCAGGAGAAACCCCGTGGAGGACAACAACACGATGTAGATACCGATCCCAATACATTGCTACTACTACTATTGATCCCATTACATACAGTATTATCAGATCAGGTTTACCTTCACACGATATATCCTGATGTGAGTTCACCATGATAGGCTGACTGACTTCCTCTAGTGCCCGCTAGCGTATACCGACCGATGCAAATGCATAATTCCATATTCATTATTAAAAAATATCTCCAATCATACATACCAAAATATCGATAAAAATCAGAGTTAGTGAAATTCTTGCTCCTAGGTAAGGAAGATTTTAATGTTCAGCGAAATATGACCATAACAAGCTACGTTTACGACAAGATGGCATAGAAACATTCTACATTGATATTATAAGAATATAAATAAACGTAAAAATATTACTAAATTTAATACTGCTTTAGTAATCTTATCTTAATTACCAATTAATTAACTTTACAGAAAAAAGTTGCAAAACGTTACAATTGTCATTATTTTACAGTTAAAAACTCATTTATGGATGGACGGGTAACAAGTTTAATTTGTATTCCATTATTTAGACTTTATATGCAAATTTTATTATATAACAGATTTGTTTTATTTCTACTAATATTATAAATATGAATGATATTAAAAATAACTGTTAGTCAATAATGCTTAAATGGTTACATTACCTACATATAATAATTTTTATTTTAGCACAATACTACTTGACAATATATATATATATATACATATTATTTTATTAATATTAAATACTATAATGCCTACTTTTATGGTGGTGCACTTAATATAATTGTTAATTATAAACCAAAATAGTCTCCCTTTTTTAGTTCTGATTTTAATCAAACAGGGAGACTATTTAGGTTAACCAAAATAACAATCGGGGCAAGATAGGAAGGGATCATTAGGACAGTACCTCAATCCCATCGATTGCATAAATAAATATCGAATTCAGTATAAAATTTGTAAAGACATCATAGTACAAATACCAACCAAAAACACCATCCTCTAGAGAAATCTTCTTTGGAAAATGTTTATTTTTGTCAATACCTACTGTTAGCTTTGCATATTATAATGATTCCAATGGGGTTAGAATGTCAGTTAGTACTGTAAGATTCAGCAGTAAGTGGTAAGTTTTGTGTCAGTATCTCAGGCGATAAGTTCCTAATTGCACTTCACTTTACGGAAATGGAGTGGAGCGGGCAACGTTGGGCAGACACGTCCCGGAGTACGTGTCTTGAAATGTACTCTGCTGTAATGCGAATGACACTCGGCACAGTGGATTGTCGAGCTGTTATTTATTTATAAGTTTTGTTTTGTTCCGCATCTGATATATTATGTATTCCTGCTTTCTCCTCGGCGTTATTTCCATTATCCCGGGATCTCCTGTCTAAACTAAAAAAGGATACAATGAGGATGCCTACTGGAATTTTACACAGCAAATTACTATTTGGTTCGTATTCCGTAACAGATTTATCTTGATGGAGGAATATCAATCAGTAACATACATACAGAATACAACGTTGGAAACAGTTTCACATATTTACCTACAATAATTACTATGGAGGGAAAAGAAAACAATCTTCTACATATTTTATTTTTAAGTTTTTTTTTTATTATTAAGATGAAGATGTACGTATGGAAAGGCCATATTATTTTATATATTATTTACATATTATTGGAAAGATAAACAAGCTCACGACTCACGATGATTTTCATTTTCCAATAGGTAGCTATTGGAAAATCGTAACCTATATGAATGTCACCAAGTCTCAAAAAACATATAAAGTATTATAATGCTTTGCTTCTTTTAGGCACTAATCAAATTCGACAACAGTACCGCAAATAACTTAGTATCAAAAAGAGATAATGCAGAGATACCAATATAGAAAACTCAAACTATAAAATAATACTCTGTAATAGCTCTACAATCGAAACATTTTTGTCATCCGTATGTAAGTTCTGTAAACGAACTTTTACAGAACGCGAGTGGTGATCTTTTGCTCAGACAACACTGATTGCTTTAAGGAAAACGAAAAACTGTCAGCGCTCGCAACAAGTCCTTGGAACCAGCTTCTATGTATTTGTGTTTTTTGTGTGTAGAATAATAAGTTAACACATAAAGACGTGAACAAGATTATAGCATTAGCATGAAGTTACAGAAAATGTAAATACCTAATAGGATGAGATAGGCAAGTGATTAGTAGCTTAGAAAGTGATTAGTATGCATCTTTGTCTTGAAATAAAAGAGATAAGCTTATTAAATATCAATGCCGTATTGTGTATATAAGTATAGTAAAGTGCTTCTTTGATGAAACATAAACAAAGTTAAATACAAATAGAGTAAATTTTTAATCTCAAGGGATTTTTCATAACATTAAGAATTTTATAAAATAAAGTAATAAAATATATAGCTGGATAACAACCTCGTTTATTAAAGCGGAGACCACTGACCTAACTAGTCCTGAAAAGCTTAATAAGTCAAAGGGACAACTTCAACTGAGTTTAATATTTCTTTTAATTAATTCCTAGCAACTAATTCTAACGTATTTTTGTAAAGAAAAGTACGTAATCGAGTAATTCCTTCTATTTACATATGTAAATAGAAGGAATATACGAGTAGAATACGCATAGAATGGAGAACTTCTATATGATTATAATTTGATATGTATGAAGTTAAATCTAATTAGGACCGGCATAATACAGTAATTACAGAAATATTGTGAGTAAAACAGTTTATATAGAAAATAAAAGAATTTCTATACCTTCTGTACATACCTAAATCAGGTATCAATTTATAAGACAGATAAAATTTATTTTCAAATTTAGTTTTTCTATGGCATTCAAATTGCAAACAAGCTCAAGGCTCACCTAATGGCATCTAAAGTGTAAACGTTCTGTATTCACAGACGATGACATCTTTCTTATCTCATCTTTCAACCGAAGATGTAAGTAGCAGATACAATTGAAGTATATAATTTTACATATATTTAAACTCTTGTAAGATAAATAAATTTAATGTACCTAGGAGTTACGCATTACTTATTGAAGGTTGACTACCCACCCCCGGGAGCCGTAGCCAGCGATGCACACAATCGTGTCGTATTGTATGTGACAGTCCCAAATAATGGCTGGAGTACCTAACGTTGCCAATCAGCGACCCATATCTATCACGAGACAATATTTTCATTTTACACGGAAATTGTAATTTGTAATTTTAAAGGAAATATCTATAATATAATGATATAATTAATAAAATAAAACTAATAAATCTTTTATGCTTCCAGATTATGAGGAGAACATTTGTACTCTGTTGTATATCTTTGAAAATAAAAACAAGTATACTAGACTACAAGTAAAATAAATTACCTACATATATAAATAAAGTCATGGTTCAATCGTATTAGCTCAGCAGGTAGAAGTCTCTATAACATCAGAGCAGGTCTCCTGGCCTGGAGATGGTGGTTTCGGTATCATAATTGGATATGGAATTTAATAAAGGACCGCATTGTAACATAATTATATTACAATTTTATTAATAAATAAATAATAAAAGATATAATATATTAATACTACACAAGTACATAAGAAAACTTAAAATATTAATACTGTTTACAAGATTAGGTAGCTACATAGAAATTTTCAAATATCCCTTGTTAGCGGATGCATGCTTTATACTATAAACCTATGTTCCAAAAAGTTTTATGAATTATCCTTAATCAGTGAGGACAAACGATTTAATACTGTAATTCTTTGGTAATCGCATAAACTTGATAAGCATTATGTAAATAATACATGTTGACAATAATTCTTACATTATTCTATTGTTTAGGTTCAAGTTTCATCAAATAAGGCTTTGTAAATATCTGTTTCTACGCCCACGATATAGACAAAAAGATATCATGTTTATTATTTCCTTTAAATATTAGCTTTACAAAAGGCTCCGACGACTTACGGATGCTTGAAGAGCATTAAAATATATTGGCTTATTGCTTGGCTTTTACAGCCATTGTCTCTCTTATAATATTTGGCAGATTGTATTCATGAAAAATGTTAAATATGAAATGCAGGGCAATATATATTTAAAAACCTCAAGTTTTTTTCCTTTTTTTGAGTCTACAAACCGAATGAGCGGTAGAACCAAAAAAAATTTACTATTAAAAAGTATGTATATTAAGTTTATTGCCATACACATAATTTTACATCTATTTCACTCACGTACTTGTATTAAATTTTGTAAGTTATAATTATCTAAAAATATCTGCATACTAATTATACAAACATCTGATAATATACTGTTCGTAAATAGTGTCTATTTAGAATGTAATTGCACTACATAAAATATTCCAATTTCCTATAGTAATAGTGTATTAATGACTTTTTCCGGTCACAGTACCGTGAAATTGGTAGCTCTGTCGTGCGACTAAAGAGACAAGAATGTAAACTTTTATTTAGATTTGAACAATATAATTTAATTAAATAAATATACTTTCTAATCTACGTTTGAAGTAAATACTACAAGTGTTTATTTAAAAAAAATTACTTCTACAAATGCGGAAAATATCGATATCAGAAACTGCGTATACAGATAAATAAAATATTTTTTTGTAAAGTTCAGAATATGTAACTTTATGTTTACCTTTAACCAGTTATTATTAAGTAGGTACTATTCAAAATTAGAAATAGTTAACTTTAATTGCTTTTTGCTAGATATATTTATTAAAATTAATATTTATTGCATCCTACTTTATCCAACCTGTACATTTCAGAGGAAATTACTCATACGAGTTAAATGATTATGCAAGTAAATTTTACTATTTACTATTTTTTGTTGTATCACGCTTGCACAGTAATACCTTTGATTTCCTTAATTTAGTGTAATAATGCTTTTTGCATTTAATAAAACATAAAATCTGCAAGACCTTAATATTTCTGCTAGAGCACGTATTAATAATAGCAATGAATGATTGGTTTTCACGTATAATTTACCATAAATAACTATTATGAGTTATCCAAATTCAGCAAAATAAAGGGTCAAGCATTAACTGATTAGCTAGCTACCCTTTTCAAAGGGGCCTTGGCTGTAGACAGCAAAAACGCAACCCGTCGGGGCCTGGCTTATATGATGCTCGTAAAAAATATGCCTACGACTCGTATGTAAAGCGAAGATTCAAATTTGTTTCTTATATCGAACCTTATTACTCTAATACTTTACTAGTAAGTAATACAAGTAACGTCACAGTCGACTACTAGTTTTTTTTCACTGCTGTGCAACTATGTTTCATTCTGATGTACCATAAGTACTAAGTGTAGCGAAAATGATATAGGTACCACTTTATATGAGGTTTCTCGAATTATTCTAATATTATTGATTAGCTGTCATTCTCCCTTAGATTCACCGGAAGTATTGATTATAATACAACTTTAAGGCACAGCTCTTAGAATATGATAGGTGTTTTTTTATGGATGATAATGGAATGGTGCACCCATTGCAAGCTATTTGAGCGTATAAGCTATATAGCCGCAAGATTTGCAAAACATTTATACCAGGAAGGCCCGAATATATCAGATGTGTAGTTTGGGTTTCGTGAAAGTCGTTCTACCATAGATGCCATATCGCGCGTCAAAGCCATCTCTGACCAAGCAGTGTCCAGGGGCGGCGTATTGCTAGCAGTTTCACTAGATATAGTAAATGCTTTCAATACTCTGCCATGAAGCAGTCTTAGAGAGGCACTGCGCTACCACAGGGTACCGTAATATTTGCAGGGGATCGTCGGAGATTATCTCCAGGGTAGAGGCATTGTATGTGGGTCAGAGTGGAGAGTTGTTTCGTAGGAGCATGTCCTGCGGTGTCCCACAGGGGTCAGTCTTAGGGCCGCTCTTGTGGAACATTGGTTATGACTGGGTTTTGCGTGACACCTTCCTGCATGGAGTAGAACTCACATGCTACGCCGATGACACGTTGATAACTACTCACGGAGATACCTTTGAGGCGGCAGCTCGCCTAGCCACAGAGGGAGTAGCCCAGGTCGTGGACCGTATTCGTCGATTGGGTCTGCAGGTGGCCCTTAGTAAGTCCGAGACCTTGTGCTTTCATGGGCTCAAAAAAGCGCCACCACCGGGATCCCACATCATAGTGTCCGGGTAGAGGTGAGATCTGAAATAAGGTAAACTCCAAACTCCGTGGCAGTCAATGCTTTAAGTCGTCTACTGTCGAATATAGGTGGACTAAATGCGTGCTGTCGCCACTTATATATGGGGGTAGTACGCTCTATGGCCTTATATGGGGCTCCTATTTAGCATAGTGCTCTAACTCAGAGAAATATCGCACTTCTATGACGGCACAGAGGGTGATGGCTATTAGAATTATCCGGGGATATCGGACCATATCCTTTGGAGGAAGCATGTGCTCTAGCTGGTTGTCCCCCGTGGGATTTGGAGGCAAAGGCAAAGGCCCAGTCAGCGTTGTATCAGTGGCGTGCGAGCTTTATAGACGTGGCGAGGATTTCGAGGTGAGGGATGCCGTCCTACAAAGGTCTAATCTTCAGCAATCCCTGATGCAGGAGTGGAAAATGAGGCTGCCTGAACCGACAGCAGGACGTGATACGATTGAGGCTATCCGCTCAGTGTTCAAGCAGTGGACAAATAAACGGCGGTAACCCCTAACTTTTCGGCTTACACAGGTGCTGTTTGGGCTCGTTGACTGTTTCGGAAAATATCTATGCCAAATAGCCAGAACCAACTATAACATGTCATCATTGCGTAAATTGTGAGGTGGATACGGCACAACATACCATACACACACAACATATAGAACATAGCCAGTCAATCTTAAGATTTACATAATTATCTAATAGAAATCTGACATAGCCAATAAATATAAAAAAAGGGCTTCAAAAATTATTCATTATTTAAAACAATATTAGATTCTATAATGCATACTTTAGAAACTAAAAATCGCAAACATCAGAAAATTTGTGAATAATAATAATACTGTATAATAAAACTTTAGGTTTTTAAATGAATACTTGAGCGGGTGTCTATGTGGTTTATGAATCCTTAAAACCAAGTCAACCTAAATACATTAGGTACAGCTCCTCTTCTTTCTTTCCAAGTACCCAATAAAATGAACCTCAGGATGAAATGCAAAGGTTTTTTTAAATATTCAGCTGTTGGAAACAGCTTTTTATGTTAAAAACAATAAAGTGTGTTAAAAGTAATAGAAAAATATAGCATAGCTACTATATTGGGAATACTTATATACCTTTCAAAAATACTCATCAAATATGGCCTGTAGAAAAATATTTCGTAACAACAAACTCCACTTATGTTTTGAAATAATTTTTAAATATAAAACTAATTCTGTATGTGTATATTATATAAAACATCGAAAATAATTAATTTTACTCGAAAAATTCATTCTGTAATTTTTAATAGAAGAATATGTAAATACAATGAATTTTGATGAAGGCACAGACAACAGGTATTTAAATAAAAAAACACAATCAGATGGATAGAATGAAAGAAAAATATTTGTTTAGTGTTTCAGTTGGAAAATCTGAAGAGACCCTCGTCCTTTTAGCAATTGGTATGCATAATTAACAAGATATATCGTAAAATTCTGTAAACTGCTATCTATTGAGTAAAAGGAAATACTTTTTCAGTATTTTATGACTCAGCATTTTGTTTGTGTTCTTTCCTTCTTTGCGCATTTTTAGCAAGAATGTTGCTCTGGTTTCTTGTATCTTAGTACATGTACACGCCACTAGATGGCATTAATATGAATAGAACCACGTCGGATAAAGAATATATAGTAACAACCTTGGTACCTACCCTTATCCTAAGATATACAATTAAGCAGTTAAATTTCCGATATATCTCTGACGTTTTGTTGTTGATTTCAAAGTCAAGCAACGCTAAGATAATATATTCGAAAGTGTTCCTGTATATTTGTGTATGTACAACTATATATGTGTATTCACGAGTAAACAGTTGAATGAATGACTACATTGTATCTTAAAGAAACCAGACGAGATCGTATGTATTAGTAAATATTTGTTATATCACTAATTAATTACATATGTTTGTAAAATTTACATAGAAAAGAAAATATAAATAGGCTACGTGATGCCTCAGCCTACAGTTTTAAGGCAGTTTTCCTTTTATCTTTTTGGTCTTCATAAAATAAGGTGTAAAGTATATATATTATATAAAAAATACGTAATCTCACTTGCCTGCCGAATTATTAGAATTCACGAACAGTTTGCGGTTGTTTCAGTTGGATGCTAAACCCGTTGATGGCCTAACAAGATAAGCATTTACCGTTCAAAAAATATAAAACCTTTTTTTATACTAGGGACTGGGTTCCGCTTTATTCTAGTTTAGAAAATGATATCTATATTCAATATTAGAATTTTATTAGTATAAAATATTAGAATTCTGTAAGTAAAATACTACGAGTAGTAAGATGAACTGTATATTAGAGTAGATAAATAATAATTAAAGCTAATCTAATCTGGTCTTATCCGGAATAATACATAGAATTCGAAAGAGAAATCTATATTTTATCTATATGTGAAACAAAAACAACAAAAACTGTACGAACCCCTTTTTACGAAAATTTTACCGACGGCGACAGATGAGTATGAAATTTCGCATACTTTTAATTTATATAGAAAACATATGCAGAATGGTAATATATCTTTAAAGTTATGAATACATTAAATCAATTAAAAATATTGCTCTTCCATATATTGACACACACACACTTATATACTCTTATGTTTCTTGTTAAAGTCTGTGAACAAATTAAGAATAGGTTAATATTGTTTGTATTTAAAATTACTTGTCTATAGTTTTACTGAATTTTAAATTAATTATAGTTCCATTTCGACCACTGGGCGACCACTTGTATTAATAAATCTGTCTCCTTGTTTGGATCATTACTAAATGGCTGAATCGTTTAGAATGAAATTTGATGAGATGATAGATAGGTATATATTCATAGGTTATCATATACACATTTTCTCAAAAAACACTTAATGTTACAGTTAACAGCTGATTAAGTAGTAATACCCAAATTAGTATTTTTCAAAATTAGTCAATGTTGTTACGTTATTCCGAAAAATTACAAGACATCAACATTATTTTACAATTAAGTATCCAGATATAACTGTATCCAAACAGCGGTGTACATAAAATATATTTTATAAGAATGGGTCTGCCTGAATATAAGATAAACCTTGACCTCTTTATTAATACGATGCTGTGGAGAATTTAGAGCCTTTTAAGAATTGAATGCTTTTGTTTGGGAACGAGAAAAATTATGTTTTTGCACAGAAATTCTAATTGAGTATAAAAGAAAAGTTTTCCCGAAATTTTTTAGTGATCTTTGAGAGATCAATTTATTATGATTCATTGTTTTTCTTATATAGTGGAAAACAGATAACCAGTGTGACTGGTACCCACATATTTTATAATAATTACATTTTTACAGGTACATGATAATTACAATTTGAATAGTAATATGCAATACGGTATACCGGTTACGGCGATATCTTTATAATTAATTTTTATGTCTTTTACGATATATTACATTAAAATCTTCAACCTCCAGGGGTAACATACGTATGTACGTACAACCGGCAGTGTCTCTTGAACTTAAAGATTACTATTTTTTCATGTAATTATTTATTGGGCTATTATCATAATAATTATTATGATATGGCTATTATCATAATAAAATAGCAGAGAGGGTGGACTCACTCGCTCCTCTGAGTTGCTGATAGTATATCTCGATTAATACCTTTTTAATTTTATTACAAGCAGAAATTGTTTCAAATTTGAGACAAGTAAAGATTATTATATTATTATAAATCCTCCACAAATATCATGTTTGGGTTATTTAGTTACGTAAGTAAATTTTTAAAATATATTGTGGAAGTTTCGTGGAAATCTTTAAAAGTAATCGTTAAAAATACGAATCGTAAAAAAATACGATTCAGCAAATCGGTATGGTACAGCACTACCCTGCTACGGGTAGTGTAAACAGTACAGTAATAAGAAAAATTGCGTTTATATCTGTAAAGTTATTATCTAAAATTAAATTGCAGACTATAATATAACAAATTATGCATTACAGTAGTATTTTTAGACACTATTTCAATTTATGGCACTGTCAAGTTATATCAAATATTTATTTTGCAATTACGTAAGACTCTAAGTAGTCCTCCCTATTTACCAGACAAACAAAAGTATTATTATATGTATAAATACAATAAGCAGTTAGCAAGAGCAATGCCCTTGACTTTGTTTGCGTCGATTATAAAATTAAACTCTTGAAATGTACCTATATCTGCTTAGTGTTAACCGAAACAAAAATCCTCATAAATTTAATATCAAATACTACTCAAATGAAACAGAGTTTTAAGACATGATAATAAATACCCTTTAAAAATCATTTTTTCTGTTAGGCGATCGAATTTACACAGTGGAGTAATATATATTATTTTTTATATATTACTCCACTGTGTGTAAGATTACTTAAACTTAAATAAAAGAAAAATATGTAATTACAATTTTTAATCAATAATCAATAAATGCTACTTTTTCCAAGATAAAGAATGTATTTATTATCATGCCAACTTTTGGTCATGACAGTGGAATTTGATTCTGTTTCATTCGACTCTCCACCTATAAGTACTCTAAGTAGTATTTGATTGTTAATTATTAAACCATACAAATGCATGATTCTAATGCACATGAGATTCAAGATACTCGTATTTGTTGTGTTAACACAGAATGTAACTATGTCATGACTTAAATACCCATATACAATCAGCTACTATTGAATAGAGAATATATGTATTTTAATCACATACATCTTTATTATTCTCTACAGAGTATAATAAAATGAAGTCGCTTCCGCTGTCTGTTTGTTTATATCTTTTAAATTACGCAACGGATTTTAATGCAATTTTCAGCAATGAATAGAGTGATTCAAGAGGGAGTTTATATATATATAATAATACACGTAGAAACGTGCGACACAAGGGCGAGTAGCTAGTCATTAATAGTTTAAAATATATAAAATGAAGTCGCCGACTTTGTTCGCTTATATCTTTTAAACTACGCAATAGATTTTATTGCAGTTTTTACCAATAAATAATAATTTGCGCATCAGTGCGAGCCGGGAGGGGTTGCTAGTTACATTTAAGCTTTGTTCTTACTCACGTATTTTATAAGTCAATTACTATTTAAGTAGTGTACTCACTTGCAAGGAGAAGTATTCTTGACAATCATTCAAGTTCACATGCATATAACATAACCTTCATAATATTCCATACGTTCATAATATATTTGAAGTCATTTGTACCACAGATAACATAATATTTCCGCGTTTATATATATATATATATATATATATATATATATATATATTCTAAAATAAAAGTAGTCATTAATAGTTTAAAATAGTTCGCCGACTTTGTTCCTATTACTTTTCAACTACAATAGTATTGCAGTTTTTACCAATAAATAATAAAGAGCCGGGACGGGTTGCTAGTTCAAAATCGTATTTTATAAGTCCAGCCATTTCAGAGATTAGCCAGAACAAACACACAGACAGACAAAACTTGTAAAAAAATATCATTTGTACTAATACTTTAATGTAGAGACTAGACAATAACTACACCAGAGACTACTTCACTTCATTTTCGAGGTCGTTTTTGAGTAACTAGTTTAATTGCTCCAAACAGATTTAATTGTAATTAATTTAATTTAATTTTAATTCTATATTTATTCTACTATTTATGTATGTACTACTAATATGTATTACTGAAGCTCTCTCTATATATATATATATATATTATACTCTATTTGACAGACATTTTTTATCTTTAGGGTTATTGACACTCATGAAGAATTGTATTAAAACATAGTACCTAGTGATAAAAGTTCTAGTTAATTCTAAAACAAATGTAGCTTTGTCTCATATTTATACAATTCCAAGTTAAAATGGATATACCTAGTAATATCTATATTTCCTTGTTTTGAGATAATTTTATGAAATAAATATAAGGGTTATTGTTAGACTCCTATGAAGGACCGACAATTTTATATTTGATTATTTCGGCGATATTCAGATAGAGTCAATGAACCTAACCACATAGAAGCAATAAGGGCAGCTCCTAAACAATTACTTACAAAATAATACATATGATACCGTTTTAAGTCTATTATACATATGTATATGCATAAATAGTTCTAGAGTGAAATACTGAATTGGAACATTATTATGTTGAACCGGAGACTGTATTCAATTGTGAGCGGGCAGGGGGCATTGATATTCGCGACATAGTTTTCTTATTCTATTGAAAACTATTGCCGTTTATTGAAGTACATGAATGTATAAACAATAAAATATTTTGTTTTTATTATTTATGTTATTAAACTCATAGTTTCTGTGTTTTTTTTTATTACTCGTTTTATAACCATTGCATGCAGTGAATCGTAATCATGACTAACACAATAATTTATTAAAAAACAATGTCATTTTATACAGTAACTATGATGATGACCTTTAGTGTTATTAACTGAACGATCATTTGGGATGTTATAAAACATGCACCATATTAACTGTACCATCTGCATGAGTTCACAAAAGCTAGCATCGGTCAGTGAACTTATAACTTACCTACTAACAAACAGGTGCCCGATAACTGCAGCCGTTAACTTACTCAGCTAACATGAACCATCATGCCTACTGTCGGTGTACCGTTTTCTATTGATTAACCGTATATTGTCTCGAAAAGGTAAATTGATAATAATATAACTAGTAAGCATCGAGGTAGACTGTTTTTTTTCTTATTTGGTGAAATACTTATTACGTACGTACCTACTTAAGTATTTAGGAAAAAATATAGTATTTATTTATTATTTTCAATAAAAGATATATTTTTATGTCAACCCAATATCTAGTAAATCTTTTATAGTTTCATTCGATTTATGAAAATACAATAATATTTTATAATAGATACTCATTATTTTTGATAATATACCTTATCTATGAACGGACTCTACCCAACATTGGCACGGTTTATTTTGTTAAATTTCTAGTTTTATTATCGCGACATAATAGGTGACTAATTAATAATCTTTAATATTTATAATTTTATCAAAAACATTTCTACTGTAACAATTTTCCGATAAAATCATTAACTGATAGCAAATGCCTAACATTGTTTACCAACAAACATGTAGAACAAAAACTAGAAAAAGGCAAATTTATATTATTCGATAATAGAATACACTTATTTACTTGTCATTAATATACCTACGTCGATAACAACCGTTAATAACAGATTGTTGTCAGATATAAAATAACGATTTATATTTATAATGTGCGTCAAATATATGTAGTAAATATTGTTATTATAAGTTGACATGGCCTTTGAGTATCCCATTTAGGATATCAATCATGATGATATGCTCAAGTTTTATTTATTAGAAAATAACATTAATGTGTTCATAAGATTTCGGGATAAGTTTATTTAGCTGAAATTACTAAAGTATATTTAGTGCTTATCGTAATCTAAGTAGTGTAACGGCTTAATATATTTAGCTCTGTGGCCGTGAGTTGAAATCCGTTTGACACCAAAATATAAGTAATTAATGACCTCCATTACAGAGGTCATTAACTCTACATTTTTGCTAAGACTTTTGAATAATAATACTAGAAAAATCAGAAGTTTGATTTCTATTTCCATATCATGTCAATTATTTTATTAATGGTAAAAATAGACGGCTCCCCTGGTACAACTTATATTGTATTGTCTCTTAATTATGTAATATCACTGCCTTATTCGTCCTTCACTGAAATACATTGCAAGCAATTTTTTAAATCACTTAATATATTGACTTTACTCGTACATTATTTATGATACGCATGTTTGGAAATTTATTTACCCCTGCATCTAAAAATAAGAACATGCAAAAATGAGCAGGAGTAATAAAAATACCTTACAAATTCTAACATCGAGAGCTATAGCAACATTAATGTTGACTGAAACTACTATTCTGATTTAAAGAATTCTTTTACTAGAATCCTACATTATCTTAAACTAAAAATATTAATAAAAATAATGTAAAATTTATAGTTTATTTCTTAAAATCCGTGCGAAGGCGGGCGGGCCGATAGTATTTCAATAAACTAAACTATATATAATATATTATCTATTACAATGAGTAAGTATACAAATGTATAAAACGACAAATCTTTCTTTAGTATCTAACTTTACGTTCTTTCCTGAATTAATTTATATATATGTAGATACTCATAGCATTTCGTTAGGTAACCACTTATGACCAGGTATATAAAAGGGCGTATGTATCTTTTATGTCAGATCGTTATTCTGTAATAGTAGTTGGTATACCTCACGTCGGTGGATACCACCCTAATGGCTCGTCAATAAATTAAATGAACCGGTCGAAACAACTCGAGCGTTGGAATCCTTCCCGGCGAAAACAAAAAAGACGGCCAAGTGTAAATACAAGATCGTTAAGAATGCAGTGAGGCATTCTAAACGTTTTTGCATGATTTTATATGAGAATATTCTGAAATTAATTTTGATGTGTCCTTTTGTCAGTCAATATCATAATAATTAATATAAACCAACCTCGATCTATTCTTATAATAATTACACATACCATCCCGACTGTAATCCCGGATGGAGTAGTTAGAAATATTGTCAATTTTTGACGTCATTGTGAACCACATTTCTCTGCATAGCAATATTGGAAATCACCGCAGGCGACTAGCCTTTTGTTGTGGTTTTGTTATGAGAGAGTCATTAAGAAATATAAATAGACATATAAAGATTTTTCCTGTCGGTCATCTCGCGTCTTTCTGGACGGAAGTCGTCGTCGTTAATAAATATTATTGAGTTGCGTATATGTATGAATTAAGTGCGTAGGCTATAACGATGATATCTCAAGACAGTTCAAACTGCCACAAGCTAAACAGATCTTCTGCTATAGGGACTGTCAATTATGTATATATCGAATATTTTAGTATTTATGATACGAGTATTAGGATTTTCACATTCTGTATTCTTTCAAAACGCGGGGCTATAAAACACGTTATTTGATATTGATAAGATCAGTCAGATAAGGGTCTAATAGTAAGCAGATATATTATACAACAAAGTTATCCTATATGGGTTAGTTTATTTTGGATTCAAGGCGTGGAGTCCTTACAAATTCCATTCTATTTTGCACTCTCTTGACTAGTTTTCTATAAATAGAAAATGTTGAATAGAAATAAAAAACACGATGCAATATTGGCACGTAGATAATAGGTATATATTAGATTCTTATTCTTTTCTACTTTATTTATATTTAAATATGACATTATGCAGACATATAAGTATATATATAATTACTCAGTACATCAATGATACTCCAAAAACGTCTTCTAAAGAAGTGATTAAAATCTCAGAAATACAGTAATGAAGTTTATTGAAACATGATCTTATCTTGAAGATAAGATCATGTTCTATTCATCAGTATACGCTAATTTAGAACGTTTTTTTATTACTATAGTTAAAAGTAAGGAAAGAGAAAATCACTTAATGTACTGTACGTATTTGGTTTACCGTTTCGAAGGTTCAATGGCGTGAAAGACTATTAAATTAGCGTCAAGTTTATAGATAGTTATATGCATAATCACATGGCAAGAAGTTCGGTCCTTGATATTGGTCATTATGTCAACGTAACGGTACACCATCAGTTCGCTGGCACACGGTCAAGGCTTGTGTGTGCAAAACAACTGCTTTTACTTGTCCTGTTACAGTGGAAATGATCGGACGTACCTCAGTACATTTCACAGTAATATAATTACATATAACAACAATTGGTAAGTCACCATTTCATTTTATTTTTAAATAATTAAATTTTCTGTCTAAAAATCTTCAATAATAACAATATTAATATGGAAACAAATAAAGACAAATATGTCGAATTAAAAAAGAATCATCAGAATTGAAGAGATAGTAAAAATATAATAAAATTGCAAACTGATCCCTCTTAAATTAAATATATTATATTTAACACATATGTATTATTCTGTTTTAGAAAATATGATAGAAATAAGACTGTCTATTTTAATATTAGTTGTGGTATCATTCTTCAATGCACTGGATGCGGATCTTGACGATGATTATATTACTATAGAAAGTTATGATAACAATGAAATTGAATCTAAGGCTGAATTCATCCATCCAAGGAAAGGAAGAATACTTTGGCCCTATCCTGCAAACTATATACCGGAAGATGATAATAATGAGAAAAATAATTCTAGTCAGTCTAAAGGAGAAGATAATAAAAATCGAGAGGAGCGTTTTTTGAAATTTTCATATCCTCAAAGCCCTATCGTGGACCTGATGATGCAGACGGTGGGGGTAAATTACTCTCCGAACACAAACGACCCCTTCGATTTTTTGAGGGACTCCTATCCATTACCTAAAGGTAATTATTTTAATTTATACTTATTTTACTGATTTTCATTAAAGTAAATTAATCTATTCAATTTTAATGTATCTAGTCTTAATTTATGATTTACCGCGTTGTTCTAAGGTTTCATTAAAAACAAGAGAACGTAAATCAACTATTAATAAAAATTTTATGACATTTCATGGTTTTACAAGGGCTGAAAAAGAATTTTATCTGAATTACTTCCGTATAATATTAGTTCATAAAATAACAATAGCTGCAGTTTAATAAAAATCACGTCAAATAGGTACCATTTACGAAAGATCTAACTTTTATCATAAATGAAATCAAAACTAATATTAATTATTTATCTAGGACATTACGAAGGTTAAGTTGTTTCGTATTCATTCTTTTGCCCCCTACTGCCTAATTCAGACTACAGATTCGATCGAGAAAAACTGGCAAGAAACTGATTTTTTTTAAAGCCGTTAAAATATTTTAGTATTAGGTATCTTTGTCTAACATTAAACAAAATGATATCCTGTCTCCCCGTCCCGTATCATCAATCCAGTGCATTATCAACTGTAACTATGCATTTTTATCATTTAAGTGATAGTTTAGTAAACAATATGGACGATAACAGAATTTTTACATATACACAGGTATAATTTATATATATATTGCTGTTTTATGTTTGTTCTGCAATATGTTTAATTTATACGATACGTTTTTATAGTGTTCTTATCATAAAAAAATATCAGCTATAAATATTTATAGCTTTAGGATTAAATAGCAACAAATTAGTGATATTTAGCTATTATATTCAATTTTTACGTATAGTGTAATAGACTTTTTATATTCACTTTATAAATGTACACTAATGCCGCTATATAATATTATTAATGTCGATCTACCCCAATTAATTAAAACACAACAGAAGTATATTAAAACTTTTTCATTCAATTCTTTTTGTTATCTTTTTCAATTTCAGGCTACAGCCAGCCGTTAGAAGAATATGATTATGTAATAGTGGGAGCCGGTACAGCCGGTTCAGTTCTCGCTTCTCGCCTAACTGAAGACAAACCCAGAGCTACGGTACTTGTTATTGAAGCAGGCAAGCCCGAAATGCTGCTATCCGACATTCCAGCATTGACGTATTATTTACAACGCACAGATTACACATGGCAATATTCCATGGAACACCAGCCTGGAGTTTGTATGGGTAAGTTACTCAGGTATAGATATAGTATAGAAGATATACTTTAATGTTTGAGGACAGTTAAATAAAGTTGAAGAAATCTTATTTGCCATTCTATAAAATAAGATTCAATTACATAAACAGTTTGTTCTTAAATAATAATCTCATTCACTTTACCATATTGTTAGTAGACATTTTGCGATTAGATATTTTTTATATAAATTGGACTCTATTCTCGGCATTTAGCCTCTCATTTGGGCCGCTGTGCGTGTAGAGCCGAAACCACTAAAGTAGGTAGCCAAGCGTCTCCCAGAAGCGCAGAAGCCTTCTGGTTCACGGAGCTTCACAAAGAATAGGCGTCACGGAGCGACCTCTCTTATTTTTTTATGTATTTAGAGAAATCAACTTGTTTCAGGTAGTGAAGAACAGCGGTGTTTCTGGCCACGTGGTAAGGCTGTAGGCGGTACTAGTGTTACTAACCTAATGTTATACACTCGAGGACGACCGCAAGATTGGGACAGAATCGCAGCAGATGGAAATTATGGATGGTGTGTTGATTAAATATTTTCAACTCATGAGAGTGAGAAATCTTAGAAATGACGCCTGTGATGTGTGATTTCTCACTGGTAGTAATGACTACCAATAACAATGAACTGATTATGCAGTGCGAATCTAATTGAATTAGGATTGCACTGCATAATCAATCGTTGTGTTATTTATTGATATATTTTAGATGTAAGTGATTGCGTTCAATTAGGTTCATATTAAACGAGAAGTAGCTGCACTACTTGTAAGTTAAAATAATATAACTTATAATTTCTACATTGAATTAACTATTACTTAGTGGATTATCTGATCTATAATTTAGTGGTTTCAATTTATATGATAAATTAGATTTTAGATAAATTGTATGTCAAACTATAAAATACTTCTTAAATATCAATAGTTAAATACTATTTTTTTTATTTACAGGTCATATAACGATGTTTTACATTACTACAAGAAATCTGAAAGAACTGAATTGAAAAAGTATAAAAATGCTGAATACCGTGGCCGAGAAGGTGAACTCACTGTTGAAAATATTCCATTTAAGTAAGTTATTTATCCATACATTCATACTTAATGTAAAAATGTGAAAAAATGTATTTCTGTTTGCTACCTTTTTACGGCTGAACGACTCTTAATGAAAGACATTGTTGTATGACGAGAACGGATATAGGCAATTGTTTATCTCAAAAACGAAGCAGACGAAGTCGCGGGTAACAATTAGTAACAATAACACCAATAACTATTCGCAGTCAAATAACAGTAATGTAAAGTGATCAATATGACACAGTAATATCTATATAAACATAATGTACCAATGCTGTGATTCTCTTTATCTCTGATTTAATATACTATTAAGTATTCTGTGGCTGATATATATAGATAATATCTTCACATATTAATGTCAATGGATTATAGATTAGGTACCATAGCTTGAGATACTTTGCAAGTTAATATTAATACAATCAATAAACCGCAAGGTATACAAAGTTCTCCGCGTTGAATATGATATCCATTTACTAATCAAACACAAGTAAATATGACAATGAAAGTTTACAATATATCTTTGAATTTTAATGACATATCATTTATTATATTTTCAGAACTGGGCTTGTAGAAGCATTTCTACAATCTGGACGTAATTTTGGTCACCCTACAGTAGATTACAATGCTCCTGATCAATTTGGATTCGGATATGCACAAATAACTACTAATAAGGGCCATAGATTAAGTTCTGCAAAAGCATTCCTTCATCCACATAAGCGAAGAAGAAATTTACACATACTTACAGAAACTAGAGCTACAAAGGTTTTGATTGAACCTCAAACCAAGAGAGCCTATGCTGTAGAATATAATCGTAATGGTATTAAGTATACGGCACGTTGTCGAAGAGAAGTTATCTTGTCTGCGGGACCTATAGCCTCACCACAATTATTAATGTTATCTGGTGTGGGACCTAAAGAACATTTGGAAACCTTAGGTATACCAGTTATTGCTGATTTAAAGGTTGGAAGGACTCTCTATGATCACATTGCATTCCCAGGAGTAGTTTTTAAATTAAATAGTACAAATGCTAGTCTTTTAGAACCAAAAGTCGCTACTTTACCAAATTTAATGCAGTGGCTTCAATTTGGTGATGGACTTTTAACCACCCCTGGTCTAGTTGAAGCTTTGGGTTATATAAAAACTTCACAATCTGAAGATCCAGATCTTGTTCCGGATATTGAATTAATAAGTTTGGGGGGTTCTTTAACTTCAGATGCTGGAGGGGCCACAAGAAAAGCCTGGAAAATTTCTGATAAGACTTATTATAATGCTTTCGGATCTTTAAGTGGATCTGATACATGGTCGGCTGTTCCTGTACTTTTACAACCAAAATCTAAGGGGTATCTTGAACTTAGGGACAACAATCCATACTCTTATCCCAAATTATATGGTAATTATTTAACAGATCCAAAAGATTTGGCAACCTTGAAAGAAGCTATTAAGTATATTATTAATCTAGGAGAATCTGATGCTTTTAAGAAATATGCCCCTAAGTTGCATTTGGCTGAGTATCCAACATGTAAAATTCATGCACCAGGATCTGATTCATATTGGGAATGTGCTGTAAGGACTATGTTGATTTCAGTCCATCATCAAATAGCAACATGTAAAATGGGACCAGCACATGACCCCGATGCCATTGTAGATCCTGAACTAAGGGTATACGGAATAAGTGGATTAAGAATTGTAGATTCTAGTATTATTCCTAGGCCAACTAGTGCACATACTAATGCACCTGCACTCATGATAGGAGAAAAGGGAGCAGACTTAATTAAACAATCGTGGTTGAACGTAGTTTAATAATGAATTTATTGTATACAACTACGTTAATTTACTATAGACAATAAAATATTTAACTATTAAGTATAATATACTATAATGAATTATGATAAGACCCTAATTATTAGGTAAATTCAATGTTTTATTGAAGAATTTTAATTATGTATAACGATCACTTACTTTGATTTTTATAACATGGTTTGTGAAAAAAATATTCTATAAATTGGAAAGCAAACATACGTACCAAAGTAGCAAAGAGTGAATAGAATTTTAACAATATAAGTGATAAGTGTCGGTGTGCACACGTTTCTTTATATTATTATTGTATTTTTTCTTTGTCCTATTCTATTTCTACAATACAGTCTTGCCCAACAGTGACCATCGTTTTTCTTTACTTAAAATTATATACGTCCTTAGAAATCTTTCGGTAAAGTTGGAATATCACAGAAATTGGAATGATTGATAAATTAGTGTGTTACTTATCTATACGAAATCTTGTAGATGTTGAACAAATCTTTTAAATTAATTGGGTAGCCCCAACAGCAACGCTTGCGAGGATTTAATTGAACATTACAAGGACAGTTAATTTCAGGCTTCCATACTAATTTTGTCTAAAAACGAATTTCGTTCCAGCTAATTACAAAAACTTATTTTTAAATTACATAGAGGATTTTGGGGGTTATTCTAACGTCCATTTGTATGTCGTGTAATTTCATTCCAAGGTGTCCAATATTATAATATTAGGATATTATATTTTAAAACAAAGTATACAAATAATACGTAGATTTATTTTATTGACTAAAATTTTTGATTGACAGAAACGCCTTCTCTATCATGAATCTGAAAATATTATGGATTATTCTTTATAAGACGAATAATCAAATAAACGGGCATCGTTTCATTATACTAATAGGAACAGGGCGTGAGAAAGGGTTTTGTGCCAAGTCACGTTACCCCAAATAATAAAATTAATGGTTCCTCTATACAGAGATCCATTACGGGCGAAAAGTATTCACAGTGTTTGTGTCAGTATTGCCGAAATTCTTATAGAAAGTAAGTCTCTATATTAGCTTATTATCAGAGTTTTATTACAAATTTTCCATCCATGCAATGTTACTAAATAGTACTGTTTGATAATTTTAACGATAGTTGTATACTCATCCGCTGATTTTTCCAATAGCTTTCAAAAATATCATAACAAATAACACAGATACATAAAGATGTTCACCTTTGCGCATGAGATACTGACTATTTTACTTATGTTTTATGTAATAATTTAGTGCATTAAACATAAGTAAAACGGTTGGGCACATAAGGACTTAATCCAGAGATGTTAAATATAATAAGAAGATTAAAAAACAATTTCAAACTATCATATATTATTTTAATTAAATTTAATAAAAATAAGTTCTGTTTACCACATTTATTATAGTTTTAGCCTAATCAACGCCACCTAAGTCTAACATTGTATTAACAGATGTAACGTCATACAAGACTTCTACTTGTATCAAACAAATAAAAGACATCTTATAATAATTCATTCCACCTCGATTTCGGACGGGTTTGAAATGAAATAATCATAATTATAATGAAATTCGTGTCAAAATCTGTATCGTGATTTAGACAAAATTGTCAATGTGTTGTGCATACCGTTAATCCTAATTACTGTAAGAAAAATATATAGAGCTACTTCAGCAATATTAAATTCTGATATATCAGAATTTAATATTTATGATTATCACAGCATTTTTGATATTGGTATATTACAGATATGACATTTAGTTTATAGTACTTTTAGAACTAAATAGAATTACGTGGGTTGAATTCAAGAACCTAAGAGTTAAATTAATTTAATCACATAACCCAAACTTAAGTTTGGTAACTAAAATCTGAATAGTACAGAGACAGTTCACAGTATGTTTTGGGGACTTTAGTTGGAATCGGTATTATAAACTTACACATACATATACTAACTGATGCTCATATAGGTATACTATGCGTAGCTTAGTATGTATTTGTAGTAGTAGTATGTAGAGTTTAATTTGTCTATTATCACTAAATAGAATACTTTCCCTCAAATCAAAGTGAATGAACCAAAAAATATGCGTAAAGTAGATATACTTTAGCACCCATTGCATAGGCAGAGGCCTACCATATCATAAAACTGGCATGAATATAAATAGTATAATTTAGTCTGATAACTTCAAGAAACAAATATAACAAGTCAGTTATTAACACAGCGTACGTTTTTGGTGTACGTGGTTAAAACAAGAAGTAACTTTGCAAATATAATTTAATTCGTTCAAAGTTGGTTTGCCAAATCGGATTTCGTTTATGCGTGTCAGTAAACTGTTACCAAGTCAATGGTTTTCTTACCAACGATAATATACCCACGCTCCTTGAAATAAGGTACAAAATGTAGCATAGTATTAAAAAAGTTAATGTGCCCAATGAGAATCAAAGGCAACGATGGAATCACGATAGGCAGTAATCTTTAAAGCACCTTTAAACCAAACCAATTTAAAGAGCGGCCCATACAAAACTTTACCTGCATCTATGAACAGAAATTTGTACTTCTTATATTAAAGATACTTATAGTTAACATTCAAACAAAGTTTAATAATAGGATTTCAGAGAAAATTGCATTATTATCCCTCGTTTCCCCTCGCACCATATTGTGAAATTCGCAATTTATTATTCTGGTAACGACTTCCGAAATGGTGAGCTGGTGTAATTTTACATTTTCTTTTCATTGCTGTTATAATTTTGTAATACCTATTATGCTTTTGTTGGGATTTAAAAAACTTAATTTTTAGTGACGTACCTACTAGTGATTCTAGGCCTAGATATACTTTCGGCGAGGAGGCATTGCGGTACATAGGCTACGGTAACCGTTTACCATCAGATGGGTCGTAAGTTTATTTGCCTCCTAAGTTGTATAAAAAAAACTATTGACAGGTATAACCACAGCGCTTGACATGCCCACATTTCGCCCATATTTTAATCCAACGGTACGTGGTAGGTAGTCAGCTAATAATAGTATCTAGGACCAATTTATTTCGTCGACAGTATTTACATGACCAAAGAGAATGTGAGCCAAAAATATAAATTAACATACACAAGGTATTTTTTTGTTAGTCGGATTGAGAACTTTTTAATGTACATTATCTGATTAGTACAGAAATCGAAGTTTTTTTTTGCTGACGAAAATGGAAACCAGTATCTTGATGTAGATTAGGTGACCCTTTTTGACTGGAAATTACGACCAAAGTTTGCAAGACAGAATCCTTAAAATGTAAACGATTTTCAACAGGCTTCGAAAAAGAAGTGGGTTGGTATATTATAAATCAAGTTTAATCATACTTTTTGAATTCGATTTATTTTTCATCCCGTACCTATTAATTTAATTAACTATAAAGTTTTCTTAAATTAATGAGTAAATCTAGATACATCGTTTATTATTACAAGTTTATTATATGTATAAAACTTACTTAACTATTGAACAAAGATTTATGTATACATAACAATATTATAAAGGTGAAAGTGTATCTGTTTGTGTATATTTGTGTGTTACCTTTTTACTGCTATTAAAATCCATTGTCATGCAAATATAATTATATTATACATATATGTAGATGATATCATGACAATTAACATAGGCTAATTTTTACCTCAAAATTTAATCTGGAACTGATGAAATAGGCATTACAAGCGGGTAACAGTTAGCGTAAAATAATTATATGCATGTGCGTAAAACTGTCGAGACGCGGAACATAAATCATCATCACGAACTGATTGTTATGAATATGATTTATTTTTATATTACTGGAGTATACTGGAGTATACATGCAGATAGCCCACCTAGTAGAATATGGGAGTGTCATATGTAGGCATTGACAGCGCCACAGAAAATACGCCTTCCAGTGACTCCCGTGGATCTCAATGGTTGCCATTCTGGCATTCCCGCAACGCATAAAGACTAAGGTATCTGACAAAACTCCGGTCTCTGTTTTTCACTCCCATATAAACCGTACCGCTTATAATGTAAATTGATTAGCGGTATAATTGGGTATCTATCTATTTTTCAAATATCTCAATATTATTTACCCTACCCTATATATATTGGCGTTATGAATTGACACTACAATATTTGTGATTCAATTTATGCTACACGACTAGTAGACTGTCCCAGCTTCACTCGGGTCACACTTATTATAATTTTGTGAATTTTATACTTATAGATATTACCATAATAAATAGTCTATATCAATCTGGAATAGTGTACCATTCAAACAATGAAAAATTTTCTCAAATCTCAGATCTTATAAAATCCATCCTTCATTTTTAATAACTATACTACTCATAATTGTCGATATCGTAGATATGGATAATGAAAAAAATGTGAAATGCCACTGCTACTATGTCTGTATGTATAACTTTAATTAATGAAGAGGCAGATTGCCTAAAATGAAAGATGTCATCTTATGACTATAGAAATGTCGACTATCAAGTAAGAAAAGTACAGTGGTGGTATATTGTCACAAATTGTATTATTACCGTTGATATTTCCGTAAAAAAGAAAATACATAATATGCTAGTATGTACAAAGGTAAATGGAAAAGAGAAAAAACATTACCACATAGTATGGTACGCGTGATAGATTAGTTATCTTGACGTGTGTGAAGGGCATCATGTTAATAAAATATAATGTAAGCGACATTTCGGATTTCATATTTCTGGTTATTTATTATATTTATTTGTCACAATAGCTATTTAAATAGGAGACTTCTTCTTCTTAGGGGTGTGTGTAAAACAAATCTGGGAATTATAATTGTATTTTATTTATTTATACTGATATAAATAAATATTGTAATGTAATATTTATTAATAAAAATTATCGTAAGTTACACATTTATTTTTTTTTACAATTTATAAATGTATATATACATATAAGCAAACATAATAGTTTGTTGTATGAAAAATTTGAGAACGATATATGGTAAACGGTTGTGAAGGTATTGAATAAAAAAAGAGGTGTTCCAGTTATTGATTTTTTTAAATAATGAACAAATACTGTTCTTTACAACTATAATACGTCCAAGTGTAATAATAATAAAATTTTAAGTTATCGAGTTGAGGGATTTAAAAATTGTATTAGTCAGACATTTAATATTTCTTTACAAGTCGCTTGCTTGGATATCTCAAAACTTACACACTACCAAAATTACACTACTGAAAATTAATATTTTGCTCATTGACTAATTTATACACTGAGTAGATTAACTCTTTCATATTCAAATAAATAAATAAAAAGTGTTTAAATGCTATTTAGATACATTCTCTACAAACATAAATTATATAAATTTTGGAAAAGTATATCATTGGCTTTAAAGCAAAAAGCTAAAGCAGTTAAACAAGATCAATAGATATAGTTAACAAATGTCAGTTATTTCCTAACATTACTCGATTTTTATTACGGTGAGTCACAAGCTGCATCACGATCTCATGAGAATTTGTCTCAGGTCAATCCTCTAAAGTCAGTATGTAGATTTAGAATTGCAACGTCTGATATACTAAAATATAGTGGCTCGCCGTGGCGATATGTACGGAGAGTTTATTGTGCAAAAGAATTAATCGGACAACTTGTTTTCTAGTTAAACGATTCGGCTAGACCTTTCCAAATTATCAAAGTAACTCAGAATGGTTGCTCTTGGTGATAACCTACTAGTACCTAATAGTTCATTGACTCAGACAACCAACATTCAGCCCTAAAAGATTACAAAAAATAGAGCATTGGCGACGGCACAAATACCGGCAGTACTAGAGCCTAGTGGCATTGTCCGCGAAGACGGGAAACGGCCTGACGGTATGACCCTGGTCCCGTGGAAACTCGGAAAATGTTTAGTATGGGATGCCACGTGTGTGGATACATTGGCACCAAGTCATGTGTCTGGATCGTCCTCTCGTCCTGGCACGGCAGCAACAAAGGCGGCAATTTTAAAAAGACGAAAATTAAGGAATCTGGAGGGTTCGTATTGGTTTTTACCATTTGCCGTGGAGACGTTGGGCCCATGGAGCCCGGAAGCCAAATTGTTTTTAACATATATTTCAGCGCGGCTCATTGAGGTTACTTGTGACCCGAGAGCTGGTAGCTATTTTGCCCAAAGGCTAAGTATGGCCATTCAAAGAGGCAACGCTGCCAGTGTCTTGGGTACGCTGCCTCGATGTGCCGCGTTGGATTACAATGATTGTTTTTTGTAATTGTTTATATAGAAAATTGATATTGCGGTGTTTGATAATTTAGAATGTTAGCATATATGTTTTATTACAAAAAATTAACACTACTATGTTATATTTTTCTATGTCTAATTTAAGTTAGGTCGGTACAATTTTTCTTTAATTGTAGTACAATTTCACATTATACAATTTCAAGTATTATAAACGTAAATATTGATCTTGTGTGAAACAAGAGGATGAATCTTTGTGCAGACGAAATCTCAAATAATCACTAGTTATATTATAAACCTTTTTACCTCTAAACGGCTGAACAGATATTAATGAAATTTGACGTGAAAATACATTTATCACGAGTACGGCCGTAAATTAAACTTTTATTTTTTAAAAGTAGATAACCTCGTATTTGTTTTTTTTATAAATTATTTGAGCTTTTCATTAATTCTTTATATATTTCTTTCGAATTATTAAACTGTATCCATTCTATAATCTGTAGGTTTAATGTCCATTTAGATATTGTCTGACTGAACATATAAATACCTTCATAATAAATAAATAGCCACGTTTTATTACCTACTGCTATTTGCATTACGGGGAAAAAGGCTGTATATTAAACTCACCGCAAGCAGCGCACATATTTTTAAATTTAATTCAGACATTAGTTAGCCAACAGCGGACAAGGTAACATCTAAGCACTTTATTGTACAAAAGCACGGAATGATACGAAGATTATATTTGTAAGCAAATATGTATAACGCAGACAAATTTTAAATATTAAATAACAGGATAAAAATTCAGTGGTTAGTCAGAAAGTTGATACAGCAAAATCTAGTTCTAAACCTTTACAAGTGTAAGATCTCGTTCATCCAGGAAGCCAACAATATCAAAATTCAATGTGCTTTCAAAATGAAACAAATATTTTTTTTAAATTAGCTTGTCTATCTATTCATTACAATATGATTAAATAATCGTATTTCAATATTTTTTATCTATACCTTTGTTAATAATGTAAAAAGAGTGAGTGCTTTAGTTACAAAGAAAGTAAACTTCGGAACTATTGTATTGATTTGAGAAATTCTATGTTAATTGTCGTAACAAAGTAGGTCCGAGGTGGTCCGAGTAAGTAGTTTATTAAATAATTATGTTTGATTGATGAAGTAAATAGTAAATTAATCTTACGTTGAGTAAATTACCGTTATGGTAATGAAGTTCAAAACACTGATTGTTAAATTGTCTGTTTGCATATGATTTTATGTACACTAATCTCAAAATAGCTTTACTGGTTTGGGTGCGATTTCAAGTAATGTATTTTGTAAGATTAACTTAAAACTTATATTTTGTTTTATTTGAAACAACTTACAAACAAATACTTGTAGGTACTTATTTTATTGAACTTCAACAATTCATTCATATCTAAATAAAAGACGAGAAATAAATACATAGCAGGTAAAATGTTTAAAGAGATTGGTTTATTAAATTTATACATCGTAAAAATTTATATTGCGGATTGAGATTGCACTTCCGGGCTTAGATATTTTTGTAGGAAACATTCTATGAAATTTTCAAAGTTACGATTGGTTACAATTGTAAACGCGGTATCTTACTGTAAGGCAGGCACTACGTAAAGAACATGAAAGCACGCCCACACGGCCTTTGATATATAACTACGAGTTTGCGAAAATATATCAAAGTACGTTATCATTAAAAGTTTGAGTTTAACCCACTCATTAAGTAGATACTCATTTAGTATAAACGTATCTGATTTTACTTAATATTATTTTGGAAAGATTGTATATAAATATACTATTTTCGCTTAGTCTCTAACTTTTACTGTGCTTATTCAATAAAATAGGCACTTATTCAAGTATTAAAATTTATTATCTTAAATTTATATCTAAAATAAACTTAGACTGATTATTTGCTTGTATTTTTTCTTAAATTAGGTGTACCTCTTTTACTATATATCACTTTTAACAATCTTGCAAGCATTTTAGTGAAATATTTACTCAAATGATTCCTATTTATTTTTAATGTTTTTACATTGTTTTTACTAGTAACATTATATTATCCATTATCTTTGATAAATAAAAGATGATAATTTTATTATTAGTTTCTTCACAAATATGTCAATTTTAAATTACTATTAGGTTATTATTATATTTTATGAAAACTAAAAATATGCCTATGTTCCAAACATGTTTGATGAAATAAAGGAGAGCCCCTGCTCACATATGTTTATACAAAGAATAAATTACTACCACCTTGAATAAATGTATTCAAGGTGGTAGTAATTAATACCTTTTATTGCTATATATTTTCAAAAGACCGATATAAAAAATAACAACTCTTATGCATAAACTAACAGTTTATGCATAAGAGTTGTTATTTTTGTTACTATACAATTTATTTATTATGATAGTGAGGGCATAATTTTATATATAAGTCAGAATTCATAATTATATAAGAAAAATATTATGTTCTTCAACTTAATTTAATAATTAGTAAGCGATTACTTCTCAAATACAAGTTACTTCTGTATTAGGAGACTAAGTAGTAATTTTTGGACGGTTGCTTATAACAGGTACTACATGAATTTTCGATGTATACACCGTCTATAGTTTTAAATATGAGTAGTGAGTAATAATCACTTAGTTCATAAGCAGTTACAATATCACTTAAATCATTACATTGTCTTTTGACGTCTATAGATATGCAGGTGATATAAAGTTTTATGCATTATTATTAATATGTAATTGGTTGCTTTATATTATTGTGAACAAACTATAAAACAAATTGATATAAAACTTACTCAAAGATAAAACAAAACATTAAATTGACTAATTTTGTATCTTAAATGTACTGCACATTAAGATCCACAGTTTAACTTTCTCATATCGAAATAACAAAGTGAAAAATTGGGTCGAGTTTATATCGAGAGTCCAATAGTAATTTCGCCCAGTTCAATGAATGGGCGGGAAGCGCAGTCGCCCACGCTCCGTCGAGCGCGCGAACGTTCGAAGCAAATATCAGTAGCGCACCCCTCAACAAGTGGGCTAGCAAATATTCTCTATAAGTTCGGCGGCGTAATAAAAATAATAAAAAGTACAAATATTTATCATTTAATAATTGAGGTAATTTTTGTGAAGTTTTTTTTTAAAGTGAAAGTAACTTTTTTTTGTGAGAAGTGAAATACCACGGTGATTTTATGGAAAGCACGCGTAAGGTGAAATTTTTGACGCAGAACAAAATTAGGCGGCGGTTGCATAAATTATTCATTCATAATCCTTTGGCTTAATAAGATTTTATCAGTTATACAAACAACAAAGATGCGTCTTAAAAGGTTATAGGTAACAACCACGAACGTTTTAAATCCTTTGTTAGCAGATAACACGTTTGGTATTAAACTAGTTCGTAAAAAAATTATAAAAAGTTGCGTTAGTTAGCTATATTACACGGAAATATTATACTTTTATTTGTATAATTCGATTTGTAGTTGAATTACATTTCATATGCAAAGAACACAAGTAGCCTTGCAGATTTTTGCAAATAATATAAAACTTAGTTATTTCTTTCGGAGTTACTCAGTGAATTCGAGTAAATAGTATAATGTGTGTTAGTATAAGATGTTATCAGTATACCATGTTTTATGAGTTAGAATAGAGTCCCAATTCGTATTTAAACATGAAATACCAAATATTTGTTACTTAGTCATGTTTAACCAACCTTATTTTTTCACATTAACAATATTATCTCAAGAGTAGTACTATAAAAAGGTGCAACTCTTTTGAAATCAATATTAAATATTAAAAAAATATTTTTGTATAGGTAAGGATAAGTAGATTTTAGTTAATTTTTAAGGGCTCCAAAACTAAAATATTTTATGTATATTCTGTCTGTTAGACAGATCAACTCTTAATCTTCATCTGAACGAAGTCAGGTCCTGACTACCATTATAAGTAATAAGTCCTTATTGTACTAGCACTATGCTACTATTACTTTATAATTTCATAGCTACGATTTATGGTGTGTATATACAATGTAAAATATAACAATAAACTAAATACATTTATATAGCATAGACAACATAATATTACATGTCCATACATATTTCTTAGTACCGCATACATTCTCTATATACATGTTATGTATAGTAGATAAATCTAATACTAGCATCCAAATTTCTTATAATATGTTTGTAATAGATAATTTGATTTACTTATAGTATCTAAAGAGGAGAATGAAAATTTAATACTAATACAATTTCGTAGTCTTACGTGAAAACTATTGCAATAAAATCTTCTTTTATTGTATAAAAATGTATATGCAAATAACAGGAGAATATACTTTTTTAATCAATAAACCTATCCATCGCAATGGGTAAAAATACAAATCTAAAACTCTAGATAACTAAAGCTAAAATTTTCCAGTTCAGCTGAAAATGTTTCTACATTTTTAGCAGATCTAGTAGTGATCGAAATTTAATTTCTAACAAGCACTACAAAATAACAAAGTGAAAAAATATTTTTAACATCGGAACGAAATGCGAATTGCGAAAGATGCATGCAAAATTCTCTTGGAAAAGAAATATAAGAGAAACAGTAGCGTGCAAATGAAGCGATACTTTTATATTGAATTTAAACTTCAACTGCAGAAATCAGAACCAATCATTTGAAGATGCCAAGTTATACCAAAAGATGTTTTTAATTAATTAAATACGTTTCAAAGAATATATTACAATGTGCAATTTAGTATTAAACAATTAATATACATAATTAAAACTATATATATACTGTCGCATAGCATAATTATGAGTATATTCGAAAAAGATGAGAAAAGCAAGATAAATAAAATGCTTACAAAGTCAGTTTGCAAAGGAGTACATAAAAAGTCTAAATTACGCATGGTATTTAAAAAATAGTTATTGTTATCTCAATATTACTATACAAATACATATACACATAATTTAAATTAAAAAACTTCATTAGACTCAATATTGATCTAATTAACAAATAGTTAAGAGCTTGTAAGTATAAATTTATATATTATATATAGTATTATATAGATAAGTATTTAATTAATTTACTGGCTTTTGTCAACAATTATAATTATTATTGTTTACAAAAGGTAATTGAACATCTATGGTACATATCCATATGTTATCATGAATTATTTATGTATGTACTTAGGTGAGTGACATGGGTACGTCAAGCTTACTAATTGACTTTACCTGATGGTGGTATCGCTTTAGCATAATTTAGTTTCAATCTAAGTGTAAGGCTAAGCTATACCACAGATAACCTAATATTACATAGATGTACCTACCTATAGTGGAAAAATACATAAATAGTGAAAAGAAATACTTACATGTAAAGATTGGTGTAGATAATTCTATGTATGTCATAAAGCTAACTACATACCATTAACTTTATTCGTATATACAATAGATATACAAAGTTTTACTTGTTAAGTTTTTTTTAGAGTACTAGCCTGTATTTTGTTACTGAGTAAAGTGGATTATGGTTTGAAATTGATTACAAATGACAATGCCAATCCAAAATCATCATAAAATGTGTCGTAGGTGATATAAAATTCTCCGTGACCGTATTTGCATAATAATTATATTACAAATAATACACAGCACGATTTTATTTGACTTAAATTACATACAGCAATGATAGGCCTCTGTATTAATACTATAGCTAAACAAAGCGAAGCTCATCCATAAGAAATTTATTAAGAAAGGTTCCGAATAGGCCTTCGGAAAGTAATGGCTACCGGAACCGAGAATGGGAGGAACAAAAGATACGCGGCCAACCGCACTTTACCAACGTTCGTTAACGAACTGGCTGGCCCTTAGTGAAACAAAAAAATATTTGAATACCTATAGTAATTACTTTCTTGGCGATAATTTAAAAACCCTCTTCGTTGGATATAACTGTAATTTATTTAAGATCCCCATTTTGCTCACCTTTTCCATTCTTTATTTAATGTATCGTACCCAAAATTTTAAAATGTATCATCTCATGATCAAATCATGTCTGAAACAAACGTACATTTTAAAAGAATATAATTCAAGTAAATTATTAATGGGAAAGAAATTATTATTAAGTGCCATTTATTAGTTTTCTAAATACGTTGAAGCGTTTACAGTAGAGTTCTTCAGGGGTTACGGTATGTTTTTAGGCGCTACCTAAGGGCAAATATTTCCTTTCATAAAATCGAAGGAGGCCATACTAAAAATCTCGAAGGAAATCCTCAATTCTAATGGCTACAGTTTGTAACATAATTATGAAACAGTTTGTTGTTACGCTTTAGAATATTAGATGCGCTCTATACAATTCTGTTTCAGTTATATCAAATGTTTTCAATTTACGAAAAACAAGTCGTGGAATGTTCTTACGTAGTTATTTTAAGTTTCAAACTGAATCTTACCAATATACACCCGATAGTCTAGTTGTCAAATCCAATAAAAAGTCAAGAATAAAATAACCATTGATACTATTCTTTACATATAAATATAAAGTGTACTTTATAAAATAAAAGTTATATTGTTATAAAGCATTTATAATAGAAAATAATAAGTTTAATTTATTCAAACAATTTAAAATTAAAATATTAAACATTTTTAGTGTGTAAATAACAATGAATTTTAAACCTTCAAATTTACTATTATTTATCATTAAGTGATGGAATACAAAAATTCGTTGTAATTATTCACATAACGGTAAATAATAACAAAACTAATATTTTTTTAAACTAAATACTAAATTATATTTATCCCTAAGAAACAGTCATGAGGTTATCAAATAATTTATACTAAACTTTATCATACACTAGGTCCACAGATATTCCCAACGGAAATTATATTAAAAGACTTAGGACTTAAAATTGTTTATTAAAGTTAAATATAAAACCAGTTTTATAATTTAAAATATACCAGAACGAGGTGTTTGCCTCGTTCTGGTATATAAAACACATATCACGCATCTACACAAATAGTGTCACTAAATATTTTTTTTTCTTTTAAAGGTAATGCGTAACCTTACAAAACTGAAATGTCTAGAAGCATCTCCTCGCTACTTACACTTTTGTACGTAGTAGTTTTTCTATTTAACTTGTTAGGTTTATATCTAGTATTGGGTGTACCTGTCAAGGTCCAACTGGTATCGTACGTGAAGCCATTACCACGTAGAACGTGAAATACGACATAAACGTACGAGTTACGGCTCTGGTCGTTTCTATAGCCCATATAATGCGCCCTAGCTACGATAAATTGAAATTGGTACATTTATCATCGTGCCGTTTGATTGTGTTTTTTATTGCATCGAGATGGCCAATGCAATCTCTGATACAAGAGGCCTGATATATTAATCTCTACCGAGGCAGACTTTGTACGACGCAGAGTTGACAGATCTATTGAAAACTACCGTAAAAGGAGCAGGCGCAAGGGAAGTAAGATTTCTTAATATATTAATATTATATTTGTCTTAGCTCATACACGCTTTTAGCGTTAACATATTCTCTTTTACTACGTGTACTGTGCATTCCGCGATATGAGATGCTGAAAATGCATCGTATGTATATTTAAGTCTTTACCAAGGTGGATTATATCTCAGATTTTAAGTCGTTTAGTAAGACAAGATAATACCAACCCACACTCATACTTTGTTTTTGTCATACCAAACATCGGACATTATGCTAAAATATCGAACAGTTCAAATTGGGCTTTACGAGTAGGTATGTGTCTCAATACTCAGGAAATATACAACATAACAGTGTAATGTGTTGTTTATGCATATAGACGACGGTTGCCACTTACCATCAGGTGGGCTGCAAAGCATTATTTTTTTCATTTAACTGAACAAGCAAACGCCAGTAATTTGCCTTTCCAATTCCATATGAAAAAAAATATGTGCTAGATTAATATCGCTGATTAATATATTGATAATGACTTAGGTACTGATTGTAAAACATTTATATAGCCGAATTTTTTAAAGTGAACTGGACTTTATTCCCTGTTATAAAAATATTTTTTATTTACTGAAAACTATGTAGTTTTTTCTGCAACATATTGACCATACATGTCATGATACGAAGGTATT